GGGGGAGGGCCTGTGAGAGGAGTTGGGGGGAGAAGGGGGTCTGAGGGACAGTGGGGGAGGAATGGGGCATGGGGGGGGACAGCGGGATCTCAACGGGGGGCTTCGGAGCTGGGGGGCTGAGGGAAGAGTGGGAATGGGGACTGGGGGGCAGTGAGATCTTTGTGAGGGGGGGAGTGGGCATGGGGGGGGACAGTGGGGCTGAGGGGGAGTTCTGGGGGGGGCATGGGAGGGGGGCAGTGGGGTCTCTGGGGGGGGGATGGGGTCTCTATAATGGGGTGTCATTTGGGGCTGAGGTGGGGGGGCACTGGGTTGAACCTCCAACATTTGGGGGGGGTATGGGAAAGCACATCTGAACCTCTGCTCTGCAATTCCCTCTTTGCTCCGTTATGTGGGGCAGAAAATGAGCCCAATTTGGGGTGAATTGGGGAATATTTGGGTGTGTTCCCCCCCCCCTTCAGGAGGTGCAAGAAATGCTGTGCGACTTTGAGCTCCAGCACTGCTTTGTGGACAGGCACAGCGGAATGGGTGAGCGGCAGTAATTATGTGGGGAGAGTAATTAACGAGCAGAGAGTTGGGGGCAGAGACCCTGTAAGGCCACGAGAGTTTGATCTGTGGGCCCTTTTGGGGTCCTTGGGGGGCTCAGATGACCCCATAGGACCACCAGACTCCGATCTGTGGATTCTTTTGGGGTCCTTGGGGCTCACAGATGGCCCCACGGGTCCTGGGGGTCCTTTGGGGCCGACAGATGACCCCTAGGGCCCCTCTCACCCCCCCACATCCTTCCCCCTCAGCTTCCATCACGCTGTCAGACGCCGCCGCAGCTGAGCGCGCCCTGCAACGCCTGCAGCGCTGCACCCTGCGCCGTCACCGCCTGCACGCAGAAGTGCAGCCGTGCAGCGCCCTGCTCTGCGTGGCCCACCTGCCCCGGCGTTGCAGCCAGCAGCCGTGGGAAGCGTTGGTGCGGCCGTACGGCGCCGTGGGGCGGTGCTGGTTGGTGCACAGCCGGGCGTCGGGGCGCTGCAAGGGTTATGGCTTCGTGGAGTATTTGCACGAGGAGGCGGCTGCCGCGGCGCAGGCCGAGCTGCAGGGCCGGGCGCTGGGTACACAGGTGCTGTTCGTGCGTCGGTGCGACGGGGGAGGGGAGCTGATGGAGGAGGAGGACTTGCACTCCAGGTGTTTGTGCGTGGAGGGGCTGCCCAGGGGCTACGCGGATGGAGAGGGGCTCCGGAGGGTCTTCTCGGGGGTATGCGGCCCCAAATTCTGTCAGGTACGGGGTGAGGGGGGGTGTGGGGTAGGGGGTTTCCTCCTGGGGGATATGGGGGTGCGGAGGGGCTCAGGAAGTCTTCTGGGGGTGTGCAGCCCCGAATTCTGTCAGGTGTGGGGGAGGGAGGGGCTACGGGGTGGGGGGATGAGGATGGGGATGGGGAGCGGGTTTGGGGGTGGGAAGGGGGCTGGGGAATGAGCTGGGAGGGGTGCGTTGCCGTGGGGCTGCGGGGATGGCGGGGGGCGCAGACATGGGGCTTTTGGGGCGGATGCTGGGTCTCACGGTCCCATGCCCACAGTTGGCCTGCGGGCCGGACGGGCAGCCGCTGGGATTCGCCGTGCTGGAATTCGACTCGGCAGACGCCGCTGAACGCGTGCAGGCCGCCATGGACGGCGCTCTGGTGGGCAGCAGCCGTGTCTGCGTGTCCTTCTGCGCCCCCGGGCTGCCGGGCCACAAAATGCTGCCCGCCCTCGTCGCCGTGCGCACTGCGGTACGGCCGTGCGGGGCTCCGCTCCGTGCGCACAGAAAGCTCTGAGGGGGGGCTGCGGGGGGAATGGGGCTCCGCTGGGGGATTCTGGCTGGATTTGGGGCTCTCCTTCTCCCAGCCAACAAAATCCCGCGGATGGCACTTGTGGGGCACTGGGGGTGGGAATGGGGCTCCGAGGGGCCCCACGTCGGGGAATTACGACTGAATTTGGCGTTTTCCTTCTCCCACCCCAGCAAAATCCCAGGAATGGCATTTTTAGGGTCTCTCGTTAGGGAATGGGGCTCCAAACTGGGGGCTGAGTCTTCCAAAATTTGGGGATTTTTCCTCCTCCCAGCCCAGCAGAAGGCCCCCATTTATGGCGTTTTTAGGGACTCTTATGGGATTGGGTCTCGAAAGGACCCCATTAGGAACGATTTGCTCAATTTTGGCCTTTTTTGCCCCGTTTTTACAGGCTCAGAGCCGCGGCCGAGGGCTCCTCCCTGACCCCACACTGCTGCAGATCCTCAGTGCCCTCCGCAGCCCCACTGCTGCCCCACTGCTGCACGGAGCCCTCGGGGGCAAACGGGGTAAGGAAGGTGACCCCATAGTGCCAGAGGGGTTAATGGGGTAAGGGGGGCTGCCCCATAGTATTGGGGGTTGGCCCCATAGTGCTGTGGGGCTGCCCCACAGTGCCAGGGGGCAAACAGGGTAAGGGGGCAGCCACACAGGAGTGGGGGGCTGCCCCATAGCCTTGAATGTCAGCCCCATAGCATTGGGTGTTGGCCCCGTAGCGCCGTGGGGCAGCCCCATATGTGTGTTTGTGCCCCATAGGTCTCCTCGGCGCTGCCCCATTGCTGCCCTTCTGCCCCACAGTGCTGCAGTCGGTGCTGCAGAACCCAATGCGGGTACAGGGCGTAAGAGGGGGGAGGATTTGGGGTGAAATTGGGAAATTTGGGGCAATTTTGGGCAATTTGGGACAATTTGGGGGGTTGGGGGCATTTTGGGGGAATTTGGGGAGATCTTGGGGGATGTGTGACAGTTTGGGGGAATTTGGGGCAATTTTGGGGGGTTTGGAGAATGGAGGAATTTGAGGTTGGGGATGGAGGGATTTGGGGCAAAGTTGGGCAGCGTTGGGGCAATTTGAGGGGATTTGGGGAATGGAGGAATTTGAGATTGGGGGATGGAGGAATTTGGGGCGAGATCGAGCAGTTTTGGGGTGAAAAAGGTGAATTTTGGGTGCGTTGTGTTGCAGAAGCCAGGGCTGCTGGGGGAGGCACCATTGAGGGTGCTGCCCCACGGCGTCGTGGGAATGCCAACAGTGAACGCTGCGCCGCTGCTGGGGGACACCGCCACTGGTATGGCACCTTCCAGGACCTTCCCAACCCAGCCTGCGCTTCCGAGACCTTCCAGCTCTTTCCCAACCCATTCTATGGCACTACAACCTTCCAGGACCTTCCCAACCCCTGTGATGTCTTTCCACTTCCTTTCTGACTCATTGTATGACATTCTAGGTCCATTTCAACCCGTTTTATGACCTTCCAGGACCCTCCTGATCTCTTCTGTGACCTTGCAGCACCCTTCCAACACATTATGTGACCGTTAAAGACCCTTCTGACCCATTCTTTCACCTTCCGGGACCCTTTCATGCCATTCTTAGACCTCCTAGGTTCTTTCCAACCCATTCTCTGACCTATGAGGACCTTCCGGGACCCTTTCCACCGATTCTCTGACCTTCCGGGACCCTTCTGGCCCGTTCCGTGACCTTTCAGGCCCCTTCCCACCCCTTCTCTGACCTCCCAGGACCCGTTCCCACTGTATTCCCCCCCTACAGGCGGTGACGTCCCCCCGTGCCCCCCGTTGGGCGGTGTTCCCGTGGCGGCGGATCGTGACGGCCCCTCGTTGACCGCATCCCTCCTCGGCCCCACCAACAGGCGGAGCGCCGGCGCTGCTCCAAGCCCCGCGGTGAGCCTGCAGGGGGTGGCAGCACAGCGGGTTCCTTTGGAGCCCCACCTCCAGCCGTGGGGCTCAGGTCACAGCGCCCGGGTTGGGCATCGATGGTCCTCCGAGGGCTGACGGCGCGGCGGTGGTTGCGTTGCAGGGGTCGTTGCTGGGGGAGCCACCGAAGGACTTCAGGATTCCCCGCAACCCCTACCTCAATCTGCGCAGCCTGCTGCCGCCCAGCATCACCGGTCAGCCCCACAGCACTGCCCCATAGCACTCCGCAAAGCCCCACAGCTCCAGACCTATAATACCCACAGCACCCCACTGCTGAGCCCCATAACTCTGCAGCACCCCACAGTTCTGCTCCATAATGCCCCGTAGCGCCCCACAACTCTGCCCCGCTCCATCCCCACAGCACCCCATAGCACCCCACTCTGCCCCATAACACCCCGTAGCGCTGCCCCATAGCGCAGCCCCATAGCACTCTTCCTCCCCCCCAGGCATCGCTGCTCCCCAGGCGTTGGCGCTGCCACCCCACAGCATTTTGGGCACTGGCCCCACAGCGCGGATCTCATCAGCCCTCAGAGAGCCACTGCTGCCATCACCTGGAGCCACCACTGAGGGGGTACGTGTGGGGCTGCCCCACAGATCCCCCTCTGCCCTGTAGATCCTTCCCTGAACCCCACAGATCCCCATTTTGCCCACCTACATCATGTCCCCCCACATTGTGTCCCCTTTCCCCCCAGACCCCCATCGTTGCCCCCACACTGCCAGCATCACACAGTGCCCCACCCAAGGTGAGACCCTCCCCAGTTTCATATGGGCTTATGCGGGGGGCTGGGGGGGGGGGGGGGTGCTCTATTGAGGGGGGGTCTATAATGGGGTCACGGGGAGATCTGTGGGGATGTTTGGGGGGGGCTCTATTAGGGAAGGCTCTATTGGGGGGGCTTTATTAAGGGGGGTCTATTGAGGGGGGGACTCTATGAGGGGGCTTTATAGGGGAGTCTGAGGGGGGTTGTATGGGGGTGTCTGGGGGGCTTTATTGGGGGATTCTGTGGGGGAGGGGGGAGCACTGAGATGTTGGGGTGTAAACATGCCCCCCCCTTCTATATTGCAGACCCCCGTGCCTCCCCCCCCC